GCACTCAGGTGTGCACACAGATATGCACTGCACACATAGGCACACTCATGAGTGCATACAAGCAAACACACAAAAACACACACATATAGGCACACAGGTACAAACACAACTGCACAAGATACACATGCACTTACCTGCACCCCCCCCACACACATGCAGGCGCATAGACACAAACACAGAAACACATACAGACACACACATGTGCATCACACAGGTACACATGCACAAACACACAGAAACACATGCATGCTCACATATGTGGGGACATACACATGCACACACCCTGAAACCACACCATCTACTCTTACCATCATCCTTCCAGCAGAAGACTAGTGAGGATATTTGCCATCAACCCCAAGAGGGCCGAGGACAGGGTGCAGACACTTAGCAGAACCTCCTGGGAAGAGTGCCTGAAATATGCCTGCTGCCCAGTAAATATCTCCTGCCTTCTAATCCACATGTAAAACTCTTGAATTTAAAGGGTGACAGTGGCTGTAGGCACAAGAGTGCCACAAACGGTAGCCCAGCACCTCTGAACTGACTGCCTGGAGTCCGCTCAGCTGCCCAAAGGCGCTCCACTGAGACCTAAGCCCCAGGCCGCTCCTCACGGAACAACCCACAACACAGGGCCGGCCTATTCTTCCCATCTTGCAATTTCTTTGTTTTCCACTGTCACCTATTTGCTCGGAGAACAACGTAGAGAGCTCTAACCCTAATCATGTGTCTGTGGAACTGCCTCCTCAGAAATGTGAGAATCATTCTCAAGTCAAGACAGGTGCCCTCCTGACAGGCTGCAACGCCTGGGTCTGCGGAATGCTGAGCAAACCCGGCACCCCTGCAGGGAGCAAGCGCCTACCTGGCGTGGTGTCGGCTGTGCCAGGAAGGGCCACCGCTGGCAGAGGGGAACAGAGAGGCCACTGGCTCCACGTGGCTGTCAGAGCATTTGGTGGCATGCCAGGAGTGAGGCCTCCAGCTCGGATCACTCTTCCTGGAAAAGAACAGAGGTGATTCAGGGCAGCACACGCTGGACGTTCTCCTGCCGTGACAGGAGGGCAGGAAGGACAGCTGCAGCCCCCTGAGCAGCACCGCGCTTGGGCGCGTCCTGTTGAGACTGTACGCACTCTCTTTTGAGGTTTTTGCTCACCACCAACTTGACTTCA